CTGTTTCTAAAAATGTGATGGCACACCTCATCCTGGAACATGCCAGCACGAGAGGCAAAGCACAAACCATGTCAGGGGAGGGGAGAGGGAAAAGAAGGGAGGCAGTGGCAATGARACATCTGAGAAATTCTGATGTACAAAATGCATCACCAGATCCTGGAAGAGCATATTTGGCTTGGCCCAGCCTGAGCACTAGGCTAACACATCRTGCTTCTTGAGGGTGTTCAATGCAAATCGTTCTCCATTAGGATGAAAAGAGTTTTGATGTTTTCCTTTGATGCCTCAAAATAAATTTAAGGAAATTAGCATAGTTGTGTCTACTTAGCACTTAGAAAAGAGGAAATTTAAACTCCAAGGCTGGCCAAAAGAACACAGCCTTGCTGACAACTTTTTCAAACTCAAGATCATGCAAGACTTAGCTAAGTTTGTTAATGCAAGTGTTTGAGTCCCAGTATGTCTGACCAGTCCAGCTCACAACTTGATATGATATCCAAATAGCCCAATTTATTTCATGCATAAGAATCAAAGCTGCTGAACTTTTTCCATGGGATAACATTAAAGTCTCTCTATACATTCACATATGCATATGCACAGACAGTAGAGTTTAATTCAAAGAGATGATTTAAGGGATTAACTGTTGAATTAGTCTTTGAAAATTAGTCAGCCTGTAGAGAAAATTATAATCTTTGTAATCTTTGGCATGTTTACTTTTCCTAACTATTGCTTTCTGATTTTCAACTGTGAACTGTAAAAAAAATTATATAATTGAGTGGAACAAGTCAGAAACAAAAGGTGGAACAAATGTAGAAGTGAGCATTGCATTTAGCTTGACTGACTTTTTTAACTGAGAGGAACAAGAGAAAATGAAACAAAAATCAATGTCTCTGCATGGCAGCTTACATAGCAGCAGACAAATTATCTCTTACATTTACAAGATCATGCTCTTAATGGGTTGTGTTTCACAAGTCTGACAGAGTTATATTTGGCTTTTACCTTTTGGGAATGATCTTAAGACAACCAACAACTCCAACAGTCTCATTCTCAGTACTCTGCTTCGGTGTTCGAAGCAGATTAACTAATAGTGTTCTCTTAAATAAAACCCCCAACCAATCATCAATCAACCAACCTCCTCCGAGCTCCCAAAACTGGAATAAAAGCATCAGTTCAGTGCTTTCGCAGCGTCTGAACAATACTATTGTTTTTCTAGATAGAGAAAACAAGCCACTGATTTACTGTCTAAAGAACATAARAATGTGCTGGGTTTCCCAAGCTTAGAATCCCTGTATGTATTCCATGTCTTTTTTTTTGATACATTTGTGTGGCTGAAACCACTGGAGAAGATTTCTGTTGACTTCGCTAATCACTGCGTAAAATCTTCCTGTAAACCTTCCTTCTATACAATTTTTTTTTCCAACTCAAAATCCAAGTTTAMAAGAGTTTAACTGTACTGAAGCTTTAGCAGAAACATCTGAAGAAACAGCTCGATTATCCACTGCCTGTGTTTCTCTTAGGTCATGGAAAAASCAAGGTCAATGCAGCTTAGCCTGAAAGGAAGAGAGAGGGTTCTAGTGACTCAGGTTATGCATGATTGTTTACTGAGCTGTGATAACTTGATTAGGAGTCCAAGTACCGAGCATTTGCCATGAAATTCACCTTTCCACAGTGCTCACTTTCAAATAAAATCACTTGCAGAAAGAATTTAGTATGGACTCAAAGCTGAACGTTTTAACTGCAAGAATGTTTACATCAACAAACTGCCTCAGTTTGGGTCTCTGTATTTCCGGATTTAGATTTTATCTGAACTCTGTTTACTGGAGTTAGACTGAAAGGAAAAGTCCACAGGCATTTCCTAAGAATGCTTTACTTGGATTTGTTCTTACTGCTGTGTGGGGTGMTGTGAGCTCTAACAGTTTATGAGGTGATGTCAATAAGGAAAAGTATATAAAAATAGTCAAATGAAAGAAGGCAAATTTCAAAGAGTTGGTTTTGGAGTGGCTTTTTTTTTTTTAACTGAATTTTCTTTCATTTTACTCTGAAGATGAAAATTATCCCATATGGATTATTACTCACATCTTCCCCCACTAGAAAGCAGATCCTTTTGGAGTGAAAATTGGCTTAAAAACCTGAAGTATGAAATTCAACTTTTTAAACATGTTTCAGATTTCATGTTTTGCATATCCTTGTAGCAGAAATAGTTGCTTGACAATTTCTCATCAGAAAGCAGAGATCTAGCAACTCAAACTTAYCCACTGCAAATGCCAACTTTCTGCAAAAAAAGCCTCACCACTTTCAACAATTCTTATAAACAGATATTACTATCACTAGCCAGTTTTAATCATTTTCCTCACACTGATTCTCTATTTTTATTTCTAAAGCCCAGTATAATCATATGACAAAATGAAATGTGGAATCTGGTTTGAAAATCAAAACATAAACAATGTTTAAAAAAGTATTTAGTTTCAGGGACAATTTTCTCCCCATAACTCCCAACTACTCAACTGCAGAATTCACAATGACTTGGGTCATCCAGACTTAAGACTGAACAGTCTTGTACTGGGACATACAGAACCCCAGGGAACTGAAACATGTGTAGGTGTGGAGGTTCAGATTTACCCAGAACAAAATCCACATTGTTTAAATTTTTTCCAAAGGTTTATTTTGCAGTCACTGTGCATGGACATGGTTGATCACACGGACTTGTGGCACCCATACAAACACCACCTCAGTACCTCACCCAAYGCCAGACAGGAAAAGGGAATGTGGCACCACACAACACTTGCTGGCAAACACAGCTATAGACCATTTGATAAATTTAACAAGAAAAACCAAATAGTAAATTGCTGATATTTTCCATTTTGTTCTCTCATTGCTGGAGAAACYATAGCAGCGTAACAATGGGAAAAAACCCTCATGGAACAACTTYGATAACAACATGAAACTCTCATTAGGSTCAGAGAGATGAGAAAGTTAATGAAGTACTGGCACRTCTGAAAYTTCCACAGCCCAAGGCAGAGAACACTTCCCTGGCCATTGAACAAAGCAGCAGCTCAGCCTGGAATTGCTTTTAACATGGATGGCAACAAAGCCCTGGTGAGATGTGGAACCCCATTCCATGGTGTTCTCAGCCTGCAGCATCTCCTTGCAGCCACACAAAGAGTGTGCCCATCTCAGGTAGGACAAGARACTGGGGARGAAAATGGGRTTGCAGAAGTGGAAAATATGACCCCTTGCTGTTAATGCTGTACAAGCCCCCTGAGCTGTGACAGGAAATTCTATCAAGATGTCTCCACCCATGCATTCAGAGCTGKGCTCCAAATGCAACTGTAGGCAACKCTAAGATGATTTAATTTTTGTTGCAGATGTCCTGACTTCTGATAMAACCTCTGTATCAGGTCATCTGATAACTACCATCCAATGGTAAYATTTTCAGCATTGTCTATAATGTACAGTAATGAACAGCACTAAGTGCTAAATTATTCTCATTCGAATAATATTGGTTTCCAGCCTTGCCACCTTGGCTCAAAGCAGATCTCATCATAACATTTTAGTAGCCTAATTACAAAGTAAGTCATTCCCAATCTGAATGAGAGGGCCTGAATTTGCCAGTCTTGCTTTGCAGGCAAAAAAGGAAGAATTTTTTCCTAAAATTATCTGGAGGGCTGGCATTCACACTCATTGTTTACATAGCCATTGACTTAGCAAGCCTCCATGTAACACATGGAATAGGGAACTAAAGGCACTGAAAGGCAATATTTTCATTTGCTATATATATAATTTAAAAGTGGTTATCAAAATAACATTTTTCTGCATTTTCTCCACAGTATTTGATTAGCTTCTCTCTATGACCATAAAATATTATAATCTTGATTCACTCTCTTTCTTAATAGTAGCACCAAACCTGTAATTTTTTTTTCATTCTTAATTATTTTTCTCATACATATATTCATTTTCTTACTGCTGCACCTCCATCTCAATAAAAACCCCATAAATTCTGGCATAAAAGTGCCCATCAATTTTTTGTCTMTTACCTAGTAGTGAAGTTGCCCTATTAGGTCAGCTTAAAATGTCTGCAKTAAATATGCCACATACAAATAAATCACAGTATAAAACTATATACATAAATTAGTAGTAACAGCTGAACATTTGAATCTCTGATTTTAATTTACAGTCTAGAACAAACAGTCTAGTAATTTACAGTGTAGAACAAAACAAAAAACAGCTTATCACCTGGAGAAATACAAACACCCCCCCAGATACTGGAAAATAATTATCCATTTTGTGTGTATATATATGAATATAAATCACAGAATCATAGRATAGAATAGCCTGGGTTGGAAGGCACCTTAAAGCTATCTTGTTGCAATCCCCCACCCTGGGAAGGGACAGCTTCCACTAGACCAGGTTGCTCAAAGCCCTGTCCAATCTGGACTTTAACAGTYCCAGGGATGGAGCATCCACAGCTTCTCTGAGCAACCTCTCCCAGTGTCTCACCATCCTCACAGTAAAGAATTTCTTCCTAATATCCAATCTCTATCTACCCTCTTTCACCTTAAAGCCACTAATATGAAACCATTGAATATTAATATATGTCTATATTTGGAATATATATATATTCATATATGCATTCATATATGAATATAAATGCAAATTTTCTCACCAAAATGCTCTAAATGCATGAATTTCTAGATTATTAAATATAACTTGTGGGAGCAGTTGACTCTACCTACATGCTGCACTYTATTCTTGTGTCTTACTCCTAACTSAGAGCAGCTGTAAGACTTATTAAAGTGAACTAGGCTTCAGAATCTAATGCCCAATAAAAATTAGTGTTTAAGTAAGAAACAGGCATCCAAATTCCTTTGGAGAGATCTGAGTGTTAAGCACGAACACTTATCAGGTCTCAGGGAAATTTTGGCTCCTAAGACTTGCTTTAAAAGGAATTTGAAMAGAAAAGCYGTAAACAAACAAAGCAATTTAAAAWCCCCAACCCTCARGACACTTCRTRTTTGAATTTTTGTTTTAATACTATACCCTGCRCATGCCATCAGAGTTCTCTCACTTTACTGTGAGGTTTAATTTTCATATTAAAGCTTCTAAGTTTAATYTTAAAAAATACAATTRTATAAATATTTATCTCCAGAGAAATGCAGTACCAGCAAACCCGGAAACTAGAAACAACTCAATTACTAGTGAATCAGGATTTGCAAGTGAGACAAGGAAACTYATCAGGACCCAGAGCTGCCCATCTGTGGGAAGGTGGGAGATGTTCAAACAATGCAACTGAAAATCAAAATAGCTGGAAAAGGAATGGGAGGTCAGGGGAGTGTCTCAGTTCTCATGGGAGACTTGAATGACATCTTGGGAAATGTGGAGAAATACATTCTGGTACTATTTCATGCTTGCTTCTCAGCACAGCCCTACTGGGATCTTTCCCCTTTCTCTGCCTCCTCCTCCTCATGGTGAGAGCACACCCACATCCCTGAGAGCACACCAGGCTGCTCCCAGCCCTGGATCCCCACTGCCACTTCCCCTCTCCAAATCTCTATTTCCCATCCCACTCACCRCAGCAGCTGCTTCACAGGTGCCAGGAGATCTCCACCTCATTTATTTTATCAGTTGCTGCTACTCCCACCCCTCATTGCTTCAACCATTGCCCCAGCTGCTAATGAGTTCACCCATCCTCACTTTGAACATTTTCCAGGGGGAAGCAGGCCATGATGTCCCATGAAAAAGCTGTGCATTGCTGTAAAAGAAAAGAGCACGCTTCCCCCCATCCCCCAAAAGTGCATCCTGGTTTTACACAATCCCTTTTTTGCTTTCCCCATTGTCCGCTGAAGATGTGAAGTTTGATTCTTGTTCTGCACTTGATTTCCTCTCTGCCGGGTAGTGGTTCATCTCTTGCATTTCTAAAGTTACTTTATTCCTTTTGGCAAATGCTTGGCTGATCTCATGAAATGTCTTGTTTTTTGTTTCTGGCAGGACAAAAAACAGGTAGGTYGCTCCTGCAAAGCAGATGGCAGCAAACACCAGGAAGCAGTAGGTCTGTAAACCAGCCTGGGAATAGGAAACAAAGGAGATGGTTGTTACAAAAGGGAAAAAAYTCAGAATGCAAGAATGGTTTGAAAGAAAAAGGGGCGTGTGTGGAGCAATTTTTAACCAAGCACCGTACATGCTGGCACTGATTGCAAGTCAGAGTGCTGAGAAGTCCATAAAAATGCATGAATTTTTGGTTCTTCCAACACTGCCTGTGTTCTGTCGACAGCCAAGCAGGTTCCTGGCCAGGCCACAATCTGGGTGGTGCTGGGAGCCACCAGGCTGAGCTGAGGCAGTGCAGGTGGCAGCAGGGCTCCTGTGCTTCACTGAGCCTGGCACTGCCCTGGGATTTCTGGAAACAAGGCAGATGTTTCTCTGGGCTGTTCTGCACACTGCCTCCCAGCTCCTAGGAACAGAAACTGAGGATGCTTTAGCAGCGCTGTGCACCTCGACACAACCCGTGGAAAAACTGCCATAGCCAGGGGCATCTTCATCACAATAGTTGCAGGCTTTGAGATTTGCAAAATAAGCAAGGAAAAAAATCCAAATGGAACACATTTGTTATCACTCATGTGGTTATGGGAGTTCACAGCAGGGAAAAAAAATCCATAAAATGCATTTCTTTTCATGCTAGAAAGTGTAAGAGTTAGCTAAGTGAAAGCAAAGTACAGACCATATTTGAGTGGTATGGATTTTACTTCACTGCAAAAAGTAGAGATGTAAAGAAGTTCATTTATAAATTGATTAAAAAGGGTCCAATCAGCCAGTAGGAATTGTACTTCACTGAAATGTATTTCTTGCCTGAGGATTATTAGATCATTTAGCAGCAATTGGTTACCTTTCAACAGCACAGCTGTGAAAAAACATTTGATAATTACGATTTTGCCATCTGTGCTTTGTTGAACTTGTAAGAGGTTTGTATTATGCCACTTGCAATCTTTGAGAAAACCTCCCTTCCTTCTCTGCTCCCTTCTCCCTCTCTCTTCTCTGCACTCTCAAACATCCAATGAGCCCATATTTTTTGACTTGTTTTTATTGACAAGGCTGAATTAAACTAGAGAAAAATAAGCTCCAAAATTAAGGTGACCTGTCTGTGGTGCCCCCAGGGAGAGTCACTGAGGACAGAGKAAGCAGAGCTGCCTTCCTACCCATACATATTTACAGATGCCATCAAAGGTATGCAACTGAAACAACCAAGACAGAACCAGACAGTGATGCCACCCTGATTTTGTGCATTTTTTGTCACACCAGTCCTACCCTGCAGGCTAGTTTAACTCCCTGCTTCGGGTGCTCAAGGTGTACACAATTCCTAGCACTGTTGTTGTTTTCACTTACTCTTTATACATCATGCATGGTGGGCAAAAAGAGCATCAATTCCTGCATGGAACAAGAAAAAAAAAAAAAAGGAAAAAACCCTTTCCTGCATCTGCTTTCTAATATTATGGCTARTTGCCAGCCTGCCAAGTCACAATGTTCCCTGTTTTTTGTGGATAATTCATTACCTAGTTCAGTGCTTCAAATCCTGCCTGCAATAGAAAAAGCTGGCAAGTGCATTCTCTGATATTGTCTATGGACTTCTGAGAGCATCAGAGTTTTTACATCAAATCCTGGAAGCATGAAGTCCTGAGCAACCTGACAATCACAAGTCAAACAGCATGGGTGATGCGTGGGGGAAAAATTCTGGCATGGAACAGGTAGAACTTTTAAACTTATTCAGAGGCAGAAGCAAACGGATGTAGTAGACAGAAGAAAATAATTTTGCAGTGCCTCATARATCATCCTGTCATGCTAAGAATTTAAATTTTGCATCTGAATCTTCTGCATTTGTAATTGTTGTTCAGCTGAATGGCAGAGCTTCAATCCAGAATCATGTTTTTCACTTTTAAAMATTTCACTGACTTAAATACTCTCCATGGTGAAAATGAACCACGTATTAATAAACCTGGCAACCAAATGTAATAAGTTACCTGCATCTCTTGGACACAGCTGTGTCCTACCTTTCTTATTMCTCTTTATTTCCTTGCTGTCCATGAGCTAAATAAATTAGTGCTTATTATCTTTGATTCATGTCTCTATAAAACTGTTCTAATTGAACTAAACACTCATGAGTGCATATTTTATTTGCAATTATTTTAGATAATGTATTTATATTTATTGGTAATAATAATATTTGTCTTAATTTCTGCAATCCCTTAAGAAGTAGACCTCAAGGACCTCCAAATGAAGTCTCACAGGGAATAAGCTAAAAAGTAAAATTTGTTATAAATCCTGCAAGTGGGTTTTGTAGGATTTATACAAGGCTACACTTGTGTCCACCAGGATTTGTCCAACAGGGCCATAATTCCCAGACAGGAACACTGCAGAGTGACCACAAACAGCACTTTTCTCACCAGCCATTCTTCAGTCATATTTCTGTAAAGCTGGTTACTATTTTACACTCACAGGGAAAAAAAAAACAAACCCAAACCCACTCATTAAAAAACCTTTTGTAAGTCATCCAGATTTCAATTAATATCACCCAAACCTGCATTGGCACAGAAGCACACCACATTTTAATTAAATTACTCATTACAAGCATGAAACCTTCTATCTGCAGTGCACCCTGATAAAGGATGTAGGACAGAAATACAGGATAAAGGACGAGGAAAATGTTAAACCAAAAATCCCAACTCAGTAAAAACCTTTAGTGGGACATGTGTGGGATACAGTTCAACTTAGATGTGTAATTCATTTTTATCTATTTCTCATGTATTTCGAATTGCCTGGTGCTGGAGGAGAGATCTGAGAGGTGGAACAAGTAATAGATTGGCCAAAGCATATCTGATGTGCCCATCAGGGGTATCTAGAGGGGGAGATAATGTGATGGAAAACCAGTAAATGCTGAGTTATTGAACAATGGCTACTGCAGCAAAGGTACTGATAGACATCTCTGACAGGAAACTGAATCTTTGTTCCATGAAACTACTGTACTGTATTTATATTATATTAGATATTATTTTATTATGTCCATGAAACCTGTATCCCTATCTATTACTATCACTGTCTGYAATCACCACAGACACTTAACTAACCCATAGTCTCTGTTGTTTTTTTTTCCTTCCAGCTTGCTGGAGATGAGCCTGCTGCTGCTACTGCACAAGCAAAACTCCAGAGGGCTTAACTTGGGCTGGGGTGGGAGAAAAAAGCTAAGGAAGAACTTCAACTAAAATCTTTGGTGACAAAGCCCASATGCTCTGCAAGTGGATATTTGGGCCAACAGACATGGCTCATCTCAGGATTCTTTACTGACAAGAATAATGACAACATATATGATAAAACTGAAAAGGTGATTTTTTTYTTTCCTATGCTTTGTGACATTATTTCACTAATTACATGAGGTAGAAGCCTCAGTGTTCAAAAAAGTGATTACTTGTATGCACAGGAAGAGTAGCATGACCCCTTAACAAAATATCCCATGTCTAAACARCTGGAAGGGGCAGTTAAAAGAGGAAGGGAATGTCAGGAGAAGTAGTAAAATCAAGTCAGCACTTCTGAATGGAAGTTCTAAGAAAATAGAGAAAATATTCAAGGAAAGTATGCGATTTCTGTACTTCTCCCATTTTCTCTCATGAGGACAGTTTGCTGTCCCACACTCTGCCCCAAGCAGCAGCAGCAGGAGCATCAGGAGCATCAGGAGCATCATTCCTGGCCATGCAGGAAGCACCACGCCAGTCCCATCCACATCCCACTGACACCTGCACCCATGCAGGTCCCTTCACGCTGCCTGCACGTACTGCTCAGGTTCAGAACATGCTGCCACCTTCACAAAGCTGCTTCTCCTCCCCCAGCACCAGGCAGGCTTGCCAGAGCTGGGAACTTTTCCTTAGCAATAGTTGAAGCCAGGCGTTTACGTGCATGGTTGGAAAGCCAAAGGTCAGAAAGAAGCCAGAACAAAGCCCCACAACCGTCCGTGCTTCGTAGTTGTTTTCCCTCAGCATTTCCTCAAGGTGACCTCCTGCAGGAACACCCAAGGTTCAAAGTTGCCCAGAGTTTCAGGTGGTTTCCCAAATAACAACAGCTCTGTCTCTTGATAGATCTCGGCTCAGAGCCAGGGCCAGATACACAGTGAAGGTCTTTGAAGGGCCACACCCTTCATGGGTTACTGAAGGTCCTCTCAGGTGTACGGGGGAGGGCAAAAGATCTGCAGACACACTTATTGATGCAATCTCCTGAGGGAAGCACCTGCTTAGTCAGCAGAGTTATAAAACCTCTTCAAAGCAGGATTTACATKGGATTTTTCAAAGCTGGTGAGACCTATCACTATAGAGTTCAGCATAACCTCTTAAATGCATCACCTTTTATTTTCATACCAGCTTTCTAAGGAGGTCATTTAAAAAAACAGCATTTCTGCAAATTSTGGCCAGCTGAATCCTGAATTACCCATTTTTGTCTTCTCTTTTTCTGTAGATGATCAAKGCATTGTATTTATGCAGAAAAAAAGGAAAATCAAGAAGTGATTTACCTAAGACATGCATGCAATTACCACAGAAAAGAATCAAAATTGAAGGATTCAGGCAATTCCCCAGAATTAGATCTCAGGCATGGCAAGCACTCAGGTCTGACTTTGAGCATTAGATAGAGCTGCATAAGAGAGGTGTATGAATGAGCAGGTGCAGCTTTGCCACATTTTCTTAAGTAAAGAGGTGAACAAACATATCCCCATCTTGTGAGTGGCTGCTCTACACATTAGACAGAATGTACAGGCATTTCCTCCAACACCCTTTAAAAAAATTTGTAAAGAATACTTAGTTTTTATCATTATGAACTGACTTTTAGTGCCCAAAATGAATGAGCAAGAGATTATTTTTTTTAAAGCGAAAAAGGTTAACTGAAACAAATAAACCCCCTACCATTTAAATGATCAGATTTCTGGTTTTAATTAAAAAGCCTGCACAATTTGCCACTTTTGAAGTAATCTAGCCGAGAGCAGTCTTCCTGCTAATAGTTTACATGCTGTGAACACCATGGTTTGGAAGAATCTA